TAGAAACACAGGACTGGTGTATTATGTCTACTGAACATTGATAGAAGTGTTACTGACGCTACCCGCAGACATTAGAAACACAGGACTGGTGTATTATGTCTACTGAACATTGATAGAAGTGTTAATGACGCTACCCGCCGACATTAGAAACACAGGACTGGTGTATCATGTCCACTTTACAGTGCTATAAGCGTTAATGACGCTACCCGCCGACATTAGAAACACAGGACTGGTGTATCATGTCCACTGTACAGTGCTATAAGCTTTAATGACGCTACCCGCCGACATTAGAAACACAGGACTGGTGTATTATGTCTACTGAACATTGATAGAAGTGTTAATGACGCTACCCGCCGACATTAGAAACACAGGACTGGTGTATTATGTCTACTGAACATTGATAGAAGTGTTAATGACGCTACCCGCCGACATTAGAAACACAGGACTGGTGTATCATGTCTACTGTATAGTGTTAGAAGTGTTAATGACGCTACCCGCAGACATTAGAAACACAGGACTGGTGTATTATGTCTACTGAACAGTGTTAGAAGTGTTAATGACGCTACCCGCCGACGTTAGAAACACAGGACTGGTGTATTATGTCTACTGAACATTGATAGAAGTGTTAATGACGCTACCCGCCGACATTAGAAACACAGGACTGGTGCATCATGTCTACTGTATAGTGTTAGAAGTGTTAATGACGCTACCCGCCGACATTAGAAACACAGGACTGGTGTATTATGTCTACTGAACTTTGATAGAAGTGTTAATGACGCTACCCGCCGACATTAGAAACACAGGACTGGTGCATCATGTCTACTGTATAGTGTTAGAAGTGTTAATGACGCTACCCGCCGACATTAGAAACACAGGACTGGTGCATCATGTCTACTGTATAGTGTTAGAAGTGTTAATGACGCTACCCGCCGACATTAGAAACACAGGACTGGTGTATTATGTCTACTGAACAGTGTTAGAAGTGTTAATAACGCTACCTGCCGACATTAGAAACACAGGACTGGTGTATCATGTCTGCTGAACATTGATAGAAGTGTTAATGACGCTACCCGCCGACATTAGAAACACAGGACTGGTGTATCATGTCCATTGTGCAGTGCTATAAGCGTTAATGACGCTACCCGCCGACATTAGAAACACAGGACTGGTGTATCATTTCTACTGTATAGTGTTAGAAGTGTTAATGACGCTACCCGCCGACATTAGAAACACAGGACTGGTGTATTATGTCCACTGTACATTGTTAGAAGAGGAAATGACGCTTCTCGCTACAATTAGAAACACAGGACTGGTGTATCATGTCTACTGTACAGTGTTAGAAGTGTTAATGACGCTTCCCACTGCTACTAGAAACATAGAACTGGTGTATCATGTCTACTGAACAGTGTTAGAAGTGTTAATGACGCTTCTCGCTGCTACTAGAAACATAGAACTGGTGCATCATGTCTACTGAACAGTGTTAGAAGTGTTAATGACGCTACCCGCCGACGTTAGAAACACAGGACTGGTGTATCATGTCTACTGTATAGTGTGAGAAGTGTTAATGACGCTTCCCACTGCTACTAGAAACATAGAACTGGTGCATCATGTCTACTGAACAGTGTTAGAAGTGTTAATGACGCTACCCGCAGACATTAGAAACACAGGACTGGTGTATTATGTCTACTGAACATTGATAGAAGTGTTAATGATGCTACCCGCCGACATTAGAAACACAGGACTGGTGAATCATGTCTACTGAACAGTGTTAGAAGTGTTAATGACGCTTCTCGCTGCAATTAGAAACACAGGACTTGTGTACCATGTCTACTGTACAGTGCTATAAGCGTTAATGACGCAACCCGCCGACATTAGAAACACAGGACTGGTGTATCATGTCTACTGTATAGTGTTAGAAGTGTTAATGACGCTTTCCACTGCTACTAGAAACATAGAACTGGTGCATCATGTCTACTGAACAGTGTTAGAAGTGTTAATGACGCTACCTGCCGACGTTAGAAACACAGGACTGGTGTATTATGTCTACTGAACATTGATAGAAGTGTTAATGACGCAACCCGCCGACATTAGAAACACAGGACTGGTGTATCATGTCTACTGTATAGTGTTAGAAGTGTTAATGACGCTTCCCACTGCTACTAGATACATAGAACTGGTGCATCATGTCTACTGAACAGTGTTAGAAGTGTTAATGACGCTTCTCGCTGCAATTAGAAACACAGGACTGGTGTATCATGTCTACTGTACAGTGCTATAAGCGTTAATGACGCAACCCGCCGACATTAGAAACACAGAACTGGTGTATCATGTCTACTGTATAGTGTTAGAAGTGTTAATGACGCTTTCCACTGCTACTAGAAACATAGAACTGGTGCATCATGTCTACTGAACAGTGTCAGAAGTGTTAATGACGCTACCCGCCGACGTTAGAAACACAGGACTGGTGTATTATGTCTACTGAACATTGATAGAAGTGTTAATGACGCAACCCGCCGACATTAGAAACACAGGACTGGTGTATCATGTCTACTGTATAGTGTTAGAAGTGTTAATGACGCTTCCCACTGCTACTAGAAACATAGAACTGGTGCATCATGTCTACTGAACAGTGTTAGAAGTGTTAATTACGCTTCTCGCTGCAATTAGAAACACAGGACTGGTGTATCATGTCTACTGTACAGTGCTATAAGCGTTAATGACGCAACCCGCCGACATTAGAAACACAGAACTGGTGTATCATGTCTACTGTATAGTGTTAGAAGTGTTAATGACGCTTTCCACTGCTACTAGAAACATAGAACTGGTGCATCATGTCTACTGAACAGTGTCAGAAGTGTTAATGACGCTACCCGCCGACGTTAGAAACACAGGACTGGTGTATTATGTCTACTGAACATTGATAGAAGTGTTAATGACGCTACCCGCCGACATTAGAAACACAGGACTGGTGTATCATGTCTACTGTACAGTGTTAGAAGTGTTAATTACGCTTCCCACTGCTACTAGAAACATAGAACTGGTGCATCATGTCTACTGAAAGTGTTAGAAGTGTTAAAGACGCTACCCGCCGACATTAGAAACACAAGACTGGTGTATCATGTCTACTGTATAGTGTCAGAAGTGTTAATGACTCTTCTCGCTGCAATTAGAAACACAGGACTGGTGTATCATGTCTACTGTACAGTGTTAGAAGTGTTAATGACGCTTCCCACTGCTACTAGAAACATAGAACTGGTGCATCATGTCTACTGAACAGTGTTAGAAGTGTTAATGACGCTACCCGCCGACGTTAGAAACACAGGACTGGTGTATTATGTCTACTGAACATTGATAGAAGTGTTAATGACGCAACCCGCCGACATTAGAAACACAGGACTGGTGTATCATGTCTACTGTATAGTGTTAGAAGTGTTAATGACGCTTCCCACTGCTACTAGAAACATAAAACTGGTGCATCATGTCTACTGAACAGTGTTAGAAGTGTTAATGACGCTTCTCGCTGCAATTAGAAACACAGGACTGGTGTATCATGTCTACTGTACAGTGCTATAAGCGTTAATGACGCAACCCGCCGACATTAGAAACACAGAACTGGTGTATCATGTCTACTGTATAGTGTTAGAAGTGTTAATGACGCTTTCCACTGCTACTAGAAACATAGAACTGGTGCATCATGTCTACTGAACAGTGTCAGAAGTGTTAATGACGCTACCCGCCGACGTTAGAAACACAGGACTGGTGTATTATGTCTACTGAACATTGATAGAAGTGTTAATGACGCAACCCGCCGACATTATAAACACAGGACTGGTGTATCATGTCTACTGTATAGTGTTAGAAATGTTAATGACGCTTCCCACTGCTACTAGAAACATAGAACTGGTGCATCATGTCTACTGAACAGTGTTAGAAGTGTTAATTACGCTTCTCGCTGCAATTAGAAACACAGGACTGGTGTATCATGTCTACTGTACAGTGCTATAAGCGTTAATGACGCAACCCGCCGACATTAGAAACACAGAACTGGTGTATCATGTCTACTGTATAGTGTTAGAAGTGTTAATGACGCTTTCCACTGCTACTAGAAACATAGAACTGGTGCATCATGTCTACTGAACAGTGTGAGAAGTGTTAATGACGCTACCCGCCGACGTTAGAAACACAGGACTGGTGTATTATGTCTACTGAACATTGATAGAAGTGTTAATGACGCTACCCGCCGACATTAGAAACACAGGACTGGTGTATCATGTCTACTGTACAGTGTTAGAAGTGTTAATGACGCTTCCCACTGCTACTAGAAACATAGAACTGGTGCATCATGTCTACTGAAAGTGTTAGAAGTGTTAATGACTCTTCTCGCTGCAATTAAAAAACACAGGACTGGTGTATCATGTCTACTGAACAGTATTAGAAGTGTTAATGACGCTACCCGCCGCCATCAGAAACACAGGACTGGTGTATTATGTCTACTGAACATTGATAGAAGTGTTAATGACGCTACCCGCCGACATTAGAAACACAGGACTGGTGTATCATGTCTACTGAACATTGTAAGAAGTGTTAATGACGCTACCCGCCGCCATTAGAAACACAGGGCTGGTGTATCATGTGTACTATACAGTGTCAGAAGTGTTAATGACGCTTCTCGCTGCCTTTAGAAACACGGGACTGGTGTATCATGTCTATGTTCCATTAGCTCCAGCCTTTGGTGTTTATATTTCGCAATTTTTGAAGCATGCTCTTTCTGCCAAGATCTCAAAGACCGTAATCTGACTCTTGTTGTTTAATCAGGGTTTCAGGTTCGAAAAGCCTAATGGTAAACCTGAAGGACATTTCCAAATTTGACACGTCAGTGACAAAAATAATGTCCGACACAATTCCCTTATTTGACCCTTTTGGTAAACACCTGGTATCATCATCACATGCTCATGATAAAGACAGTTTACAATGTTGCCAACAGATAATAGAAATCCAACCTTTCTGTTTTTGTTCCGTCAAGTCTTGGATTTGTTTCTCACGCAGCGCATCACGTTTCTCAAGTTCCTGTATCTGTAATGATGAAAGCTCACTTTAGTCTGGTAGATCAATTTATCGACAAACTCAAACCAATAACACAAACACAAAGAAAATATTATGACGAAATCAGTAGAACTGGGAGTGAGTGGGTGAGGTTTAACGCCTATTTTAACAATATTCCAGCAATATCACGGCAGGGGACACCACAAATTGGCTTCACACATTGTCCCCATGTCGCGAATCGAACCCGGGTCTTCGGTGTGACGAGCGAATGTTTAACCACTAGGCTACCGGACTGCCCCCGCAAAACTGGGACAACGGTCCAGTATGTCATTAGGCGTGGTCACCATGGCAAAAGAAACTTAGTCACAACGTTTATAAAATTCGAAAATTCGAAAGATAAAAAAAAACAAGTAACCTGAGTATTTACCTGACAGTTTAAGTATATACAGCAGTATTTACCTGACAGTTTGAGTATATACAGAAGTAATTACCTGACAGGTTGAGTATATGCAGGAGTAATTACCTGACAGTTTGAGTATATACAGGAGTATTTACCTGACAGTTTGAGTATATACAGGTGTATTTACCTGACAGTTTGATTATATACAGGAGTATTTACCTGACAGTTTGAGTATATACAGGAGTATTTACCTGACGGTTTGAGTATATACAGTAGTATTTACCTGACAGTTTGAGTATATACAGGAGTATTTACCTGGCAGTTTGAGTATATACATGAGTATTTACCTGACAGTTTGAGTATATACAGGAGTATTCACCTGACAGGTTGAGTATATACAGGTGTATTTACGTGAGAGTTTGTGTATATACAGGAGTATTTACCTTACATGTTGAGTATATACAGGAGTATTTACCTGACAGGTTGAGTATATACAGGAGTATTTACCTGACAGTTTGAGTATATACAGGAGTATTTACCTGACAGGTTGAGTATATACAGGTGTATTTACGTGAGAGTTTGTGTATATACAGGAGTATTTACCTTACAGGTTGAGTATATACAGGAGTATTTACCTGAGAGGTTGAGTATATACAGGAGTATTTACCTGACAGTTTGAGTATAAACAGGAGTTTTTACCTGATAGTTTGAGTATATACAGAAGTATTTACCTGACAGTTTGAGTATATACAGGAGTATTTACCTGAGAGGTTGAGTATTTACAGGAGTATTTAATTGACAGTTTGAGTATATACAAGAGTATTTACCTGGCAGGTTGAGTATATACAGGAGTATTTACCTGGCAGTTTGAGTATATACAGGAGTATTTACCTGACAGTTTGAGTGTATACAGGAGTATTTACCTTGCAGTTTGAGTATATACAGTAGTATGTACTTGACAGTTTGAGTATATACAGGAGTATTTACCTGACAGTTTGAATATATACAGGAGTATCTACCTGGCAGATTGAGTATATCCAGGAGTATTTACCTGACAGTTTGAGTATATACAGGAGTATTAACATGACGGTTTGAGTATATACAGGAGTATTTACCTGACAGTTTGAGTATATACAGGAGTATTAACATGACGGTTTGAGTATATACAAGAGTATTTACCTGGCAGGTTGAGTATATACAAGAGTATTTACCTGACAGTTTGAGTATATACAGGAGTATTTACCTGACAGTTTGAGTATATACAGGAGCATTTACCTGACAGGTTGAGTATATACAAGAGTATTAACATGACGGTTTGAGTATATACAGGAGTATTTACCTGACAGGTTGAGTATATACAGTAGTATTTACCTGGCAGGTTGAGTATATACAAGAGTATGTACCTGGCAGGTTGAGTATATACAAGAGTATTTACCTGGCAGGTTGAGTATATACAGGAGTATTTACCTGGCAGGTTGAGTATATACAGGAGTATTTACATGACAGTTTGAGTATATACAGGAGTATTTAGCTGACAATTTGAGTATATACAGGAATATTTAGCTGACAGTTTGAGTTTATACAGGAGTATTTACCTGGCAGTTTGAGTATATACAGATGTATTTAACTGATAGTTTGAGTATATACAGGAGTATCTACCTGACAGATTGAGTATATACAGTAGTAAGTACCTGCCAGTTTGAGTATATACAGGAGTATTTACCTGGCAGTTTGAGTATATACAGGTGTATCTACCTGACAGATTGAGTATATACAGGAGTATCTACCTGACAGATTGAGTATATACAGGAGTATTTACCTGACAGTTTGAGTATATACAGGAGTATTAACGTGACGGTTTGAGTATATAAAGGAGTATTTACCTGACAGGTTGAGTATATACAGGAGTATTTACCTGGCAGGTTGAGTATATACAGGAGTATTTACATGACAGTTTGAGTATATACAGGAGTATTTAGCTGACAATTTGAGTATATACAGGAATATTTAGCTGACAGTTTGAGTTTATACAGGAGTATTTACCTGGCAGTTTGAGTATATACAGATGTATTTAACTGATAGTTTGAGTATATACAGGAGTATCTACCTGACAGATTGAGTATATACAGTAGTATTTACCTGGCAGTTTGAGTATATACAGGAGTATTTACCTTACAGTTTGAGTATATACAGGAGTATCTACCTGACAGTTTGTGTATATACAGGAGTATTTACCTTACAGTTTGATTATATACAGGAGTATTTGCCTGACAGTTTGATTATATACAGGAGTATTTACCTGACAGTTTGAGTATATATAGAAGTATTTAACTGACAGTTTGAGTATATACAGGAGTATTTACCTGACAGTTTGAGTATATACAGGAGTATTTAATTGACAGTTTGAGTATATACAAGAGTATTTAGCTGACAGTTTGAGTATATACAGGGGTATTTACCTGGCAGTTTGAGTATATATAGGTGTATTTAACTGATAGTTTGAGTATATACAGGAGTATCTACCTGACAGATTGAGTATATACAGTAGTATTTACCTGACAGTTTGATTATATACAGGAGTATTTACCTGACAATTTAAGTATATACAGGAGTATATACCTGACAGTTTGAGTATATACAGGAGTATTTACCTGACAGTTTCAGTATATACAGGAGTATCTACCTGACAGTTTGTGTATATACAGGAGTATTTACCTTACAGTTTGAGTATATACAGGAGTATTTAACTGAGATGTTGAGTATATACGGGAGTATTTACCTGAGAGGTTGAGTATATACAGGAGTATCTACCTGACAGTTTCAGTATATACAGGTGTATTTACCTGGCAGCTTGAGTATATACAGGGCTATTTTCCTGACAGTTTGAGTATATGCAGGAGTTATTACCTGACAGTTCGAGTATATACAGGAGTATCTACCTGACAGTTTGTGTATATACAGGAGTATTTACCTTACAGTTTGAGTATATACAGGAGTATTTACCTGAGAGGTTGAGTATATACAGGAGTATTTACCTGACAGTTTAAGTATATGCGGGAGTATTTGCCTGACAGTTTGAGTATATACAGGAGTATTTACCTTACAGTTTGAGTATATACAGGAGTATTTACCTTACAGTTTGAGTATATACAGGAGTATTTACCTGACAGTTTGAGTATATACAGGAGTATTTACCTTACAGTTTGAGTATATACAGGAGTATTTACCTGAGAGGTTGAGTATATACAGGAGTATTTACCTGACAGTTTGAGTATATACAGGAGTATTTACCTGAGAGGTTGAGTATATACAGGAGTATTTACCTGAGAGGTTGAGCATATACAGGAGTATTTACCTGACAGTTTGAGTGTATGCGGGAGCATTTGCCTGACAGTTTGAGTATATGCAGGAGTATTTACCTTACAGTTTGAGTATATATAGGAGTATTTATCTGACAGTTTGAGTATATACAGGAGTATTTACCTGACAGTTTGAGTATATACAGGAGTATTTACCTGAGAGGTTGAGTATAGCCAGGAGTATTTACCTGACAGTTTGAGTATATACAGGAGTATTTACCTTACAATTTGAGTATATACAGGAGTATTTACCTGACAGTTTGAGTAAAAACAGGAGTGTTTACCTGATAGTTTGAGTATATACAGGAGTATTTACCTGACAATTTGAGTATATACAGGATTATTTACCTGAGAGGTTGAGTATATACAGGAGTATTTACCTGACAGTTTGAGTATATCCAGGAGTATACTATCCAAGTTGACTATGTAGTGTTGTTACATGTTTTTGTTGTCGCACATATTTGCACCAAGTACCACTTAACCTGTATGAAAATGTACTGTGTTCTTACAGGTTCAGATGAGATATCCGGAACCCCATGCTTCGAATTCAATAGTAGTAAAATATCCATTGTTAATGGAAGGTCTCTAATTGGTTGTGTTATATGGCAATGTTGTTAATGGTGATGCAAGGTCTCTAATTGGTTGTGTTATGGCAATGTTGTCAATGGTGATGCAAGGTCTCTAATTGGTTGTGTTATATGGCAATGTTGTTAATGGTGATGCAAGGTCTCTTATTGGTTGTGTTGTATGGCAATGTTGTAAATGGTGATGCAAGGTCTCTTATTGGTTGTGTTATATTGCAATGTTGTTAATGGTGATGCAAGGTCTCTTATTGGTTGTGTTGTATGGCAATGTTGTAAATGGTGATGCAAGGTCTCTTATTGGTTGTGTTATATTGCAATGTTGTTAATGGTGATGCAAGGTCTCTTATTGGTTGTGTTATATTGCAATGTTGTTAATGGTGATGCAAGGTCTCTAATTGGTTGTGTTATATGGCAATGTTGTTAATGGTGATGCAAGGTCTCTTATTGGTTGTGTTATATTGCAATGTTGTTAATGGTGATGCAAGGTCTCTAATTGGTTGTGTTATATAGCAATGTTGTAAATGGTGATGCAAGGTCTCTAATTGGTTGTGTTGTATGGCAAAGTTGTTAATGGTGATGCAAGGTCATTGTTGCAGCTGGGTGAATATTATAATCGCTGGCTTTATTGCTGTTACCATTGCTATCAATTTGATATTTTGTACTGCCATTGTTGAAGCTTGGTGAATATTACTATCTCTGACTTTATTGCTGTTACCATTGCTATTAATTTGATATTTCATACTGTCATTGAATTTCGTATCTCACTAATTATTTGGCAGTATGTTTTAAAGTTTTGTAAACCTAGTTGAAATTTTCCTGTAGAAATTGTGAATGGCACATTTCTTTGTTACTTGCTGGCTTCACACTTTTATGTACATATTTCTAGAAGGTTTAACTTATTGTTCTAATCTGGAATCGACACTAAACAGTGGTTATGTTGAAACACTCTCGAGTAGTATATTTTATCGATATGGCAGTGTAAACAGGGAACTAATTGTATGTAAACTAGTAAACCCTATGTCGACATGCCCAGTAAACCCTATGTTGACATGCCGAGTAAACCCTATGTTGACATGCCCAGTAAACCCTATGTTGACATGCCCAGAAAACCCTACGTTGACATGCCCAGTAAACCCTATGTTGACATGCCCAGTAAACCCTATGTTGACATGCCCAGTAAACCCTACGTTGACATGCCCAGTAAACCCTATGTTGACATGCCCAGTAAACCCTATGTTGACATGCCTAGTATACCCTATGTTGACATGCCCAGTAAACCCTACGTTGACATGCCCAGTAAACCCTACGTTGGCATGCCCAGTAAACCCTACGTTGACATGCCTAGTAAACCCTATGTTGACATGCACTGTAAACCCTATGTTGACATGTCCAGTAAACCCTATGTTGACATGCCCAGTAAACCTTATGTTGACATGCCCAGTATACCCTATGTAAACATGTCCAGTAAACCCTATGTTGACATACCAAGTAAACCCTATGTTGACATGCCGTGTAGGCCCTATGGTGACATGCCAGACACGGGTATAAAGATCCTGCGCCGCAGACGGACCGTCGCGGGATGGTCCAAGTTGACATTAAACGGAACTGTGGTGAACGTTAAAATGACGTGCAACGGGTGATTGTTCAGCCTCTAGTTGTTCAAGGGCACAAAATCTTGGCATATCGAATGACACAAAAAGGTGAAAGCTATGTTCTATGGTGTCATCCCTGTTCACCCCTCGTCTTGGAGCAGAACTTCCCAAATGTTCACGTGCATCACGCTTTGGGATCCTTTTCCACTTCATGCAATTGTAAAATGGCCTGTTTAGGGTTAATGTTTCATCAGGTGGTGTGTTTTAGTGGTTGGTTGATTTGCGGTGGAAACAAATTATTTCATAGTTTCCATTTACATGAACTAAATTCAACATTTCACCTGTGCGTTTCTTTTTTGGGAGAGTATATTTACTGTGTTAAAACCATATATAACTCTTTTTTTCCATGGTTTCAAATGAAAAATAAAACGGCATGATCTTAAGGCATGTAATTGCTCGGCCAAAAAGCCTGTTGAATGTCCGTTCAGTAGCCTGTTGAGTAAATGGAATTAAGCCAGGCTAGCTGCTGCTTTCAAAACATGTTTTCCAAACAGTCGGCAACTTCTTTGCTTCATTACATCAACACCATATGCATCGCTACTACAAGCATTCCTGTCAGTGTGAATCAAAGCTCCATCGTAATACGCACTACTTTATATGGAATTCATTATCTTCCGTTTTTCTACGATGGAAAACGAAAAATTTATGGATAACAACTTCTGGTTTATTGCATATAGCGACGTTTCGATGTAAATTCTAACACAGTTATCAAGCTGAAGCAACAACAACCGACCGATGAGAGATATATATGCATGACATGGTGTGATAGCAGCAGATTAACATTGACAACAACAGGTGATAGATAACAAATACACACAGGCTTATGAAGATTCATAGAGCACCTTGTGGTAGGTTCCTTGCTTATTAAATAGAATGATTAAAAATACCAGGCTCTAATATTGGTGAACGTGTAAAGTGTGTGAGTGCCTGTACTCACCCTTTGCTGTATTTCCTGAAAGTCTTTGGTCAGCTCGCCTCTTAATTTGCCAAGACTCTCTTTGTAAGAGTCTCTTTCCTGGGTAACTTTTCTGAACTGACGTTTAACTGATTGAAGTTGTGTCTTTGTGTATTGAATGCTGGCTTTTAGACTATTAACGACATCAAGAACACGTCCGCGGACAATGTTCCCGATGTATTCTTCTTTCAGGATGCCAGTTATCGCTTGCTGCACTAGAGACGTTATCAAGGCAGGGATGAACGTGTTAGTTAGTTCTTCTTTCAGTGATAACTCCAGCATGTCAAAGTTGTTATTCGTTTCAATCCCCAAATCAGCAACTGTGCCTTTCCACGATTTGATCTCTCTGTCAAGCATGTTCAGTTTTCTAGAGAAGGCTGCCAAACTGGTATCAGCATGTACGTCTCTGACACCACACAACGACACAAGAAAGATGAATACAACGCTTGTTAGTTCCATCATGTAGGGATGTTGTACAGCAGATGAGATTACTGCGTTGGTGCTGGATAAATATACCCTAGCCTGACTCACGTGTTTGACAAAAAGCCAACTCAGGAATGCTCTGACAGAAAATTCCTGTGTGTACACTTGGCACGACAGCAGCAAATAAGGCAGGCAACTTCATCAGACTATCGTGTTTCATACCAAGTAGGTTGCTACAATAGTCTCGTGTTGAGAGTATCATTACTATTGAAGTAACTTTAAAAATATTAGATTTCTTGTTTACTTTAACTAATCTCGATCTAACACCATTAATATTAATAATGTGCGTAAATTACTTCTCTTTGTCTCACGCTGCGGAACTTACTTATAACCCATCCCTGACACCAAGGTCTAAATGTCCAATAGACAACATATGCCTTTGATCCACCCGTAGCAGACACCCAGGTCTCTATGCCACATGCAGTCTCACGTATACCTTTCTCCTCAATTCCCCCACCCCCCAAAATCCCCCTCCCTCTTTTACCATGGCTAACAATCATTCTGTTTTTATTTGGATACAAGTTCGTTTGATAAAGCTAATACACATGCTGATTCCTAATGATCGAAGTTACAGATCATGAACCAATCAAATTGGTATATCCAGATCTGTTCATGGCCATTGTGGGGAGGATAAAATGTGACACGTTTGCGCAGTGGAGCTCTTCTGGTGGAATGTGTGAGGACTCTTGAACTATTGCCGGGGCCAAAATCAAGTTTAGTCTGTCAAACGTTTTACCAGAAAGGATGATAAATCTACTACTGTTCAAACGAACACATATTTATTCACTTTTGCCCGTTGACCTGTTCCCAATTCAATTAAAGCTGGTTATGTCAACATCGGAGTTGAGGTGTATGTCCCCAATACACTCCGATGCTTTAAATGTAAAAACAGTGGACATGGTTCGAAAACCTGCACACATCCCATGGTTTGTCATCGTTAGTGTGACAACCATGAAAGTGCAGATTGTCCTCAAGATTTGAAATATTCAAACTGTGATGGGCAACACATGGCCACTTCCAAGTTCTGCCCTGTTTATCAAACAGAAATCAAAATTCTTAAGCTAGATACAGAACGAAACATCAGCTTTACCGTCGCCAGGCAGCTTACTTTTACTCAATTCTTATTCTGTTGAAGCCAAATCTGCTAAAACCTCTTCATCTGTTCTGTGCCAGACTGAGTTGACATGGGTCAAGTCTGATCAACCTGTCGTAGCTTCGTCGGTCACTCAGTCAGAAAAAGCTGACAATCAATCTGAATCAACATTTTCTCCCTTTCAGGCCGATACTGAGACAATTCATGACGAACCAGCAAATGCAGAACAAAAGTTATCCACAAAAAGAACGAAAAGGGTGAATTTAAAATTAAATGACCATCAAACGCCCATTACCCTCTCATCCTCGGAGATTATGTCTCCACAACCGCTTTGGTGCTCATATTCACATGAACGATTACCATTTGAGCCACCAAGGCCCAAACATCAAGTATAATACAATGGAACTGTAGAGATCTTAGGAATAAATATGATGACTTACAACTCTTCATTCAAGATTTCAAACCAGGTGCAATTTGTTTACAAGAAACATACTTTTAAGACACTGATATTATCAACTATTTCTCAACTCCTGAAGCATTTACCAGACCCATGTTTAGAATCCCTTTTTGTTTTTTTTGAAGACATATGGACATCAGGTAAGTTTCTTTCCTCGTGACGTCAAAGCTATCAAAAAAGAAAGAACAAGGTGAAACAAAAATTAAACCTTTCTGCCACGCATTAATTACTTAAAAAATAGTAAATGCCTGAAGCCACTTGCTCCATTGAAAGTCGTTTCTGATTCAAAGTGGGAAGGGGATCAGCAAATCCTGCTCCAACGGTAGGGCGCTCTAAACTGGATTACATCATATATGGTGGAGGTTGTAAACGTGAGTTTGAAAAAACTAGATTCTATTCATCATCAGAGACTGAGGCTTTGCCTTTGAGCCGTAAGAGCTTCTCTGAGACAAAATTTGTATGTGGAGGCTGGTTGTGTTTTTAATCCTCTATATATACAGAATGCTGTAATAAAAAAGGTCATCACTTACTCTACTCATCAATACTCTGCTTCTGTCACATTTAGTCGCCCGATGTTGGAGTTATAGAGAATAAGAAACTATATCTGTGCTCTAAGGAGCATGGCATTATAGCGCCACACTAACACACCTGTTAGACGAGACATACATGCATAATCGACGTCAGTACTCTGCATGTCAGCTTGACCCGCTTGAACTTTGGGACATTAAGATTTAGTTAATTGCATATTAGTTTTTTGTGGAAACATTAATCGGCATCAGATGTTTCAAGAAAACTTGGATTTCGGCCAGATGATTTTACATTAAGTTTAGCCGATGTCAGAGAGACCTGTACGAAACTCGGTGCAGGGTATGGGCACTTTTCATTTGACTTGCTCAACATTAAGATAAGGTTTAATGTAAATAATCGAGGACATCGGCTATTGAGCTACCCATAACTACTGCAGTTTGACACATTTGACACCAACAACAACACTCACTCACTTACTCCTGGCTAAACACCTAACTACTGCCGTTCGAGACACATTTGACATCAACAACAACACTCACTCACTTACTCCTGGCTTAACCAAAAACTACGCTAGTATAAGATACATATGACATCAACAACAACACTCACTCACTCACTCTTGGCTAAAACCCTGGAAAGAGACACATGTGAATCACACATTCCTGATTAGGGAAGCATAGAGGAGCTGTCGTCATATACACAGAACAATTGCAAAACACTGGAGTAGCTGCCGTCATATACACAGAACAATGGCAAATCATGGGAGTAGCTGTCGTCATGTACAGAGAACAATGGCAAATCACGGGAGTAGCTGTCGTCATATACACACAACAATTGCAAAACACTGGAGTACCTGCCGTCATATACACTCAACAATGGCAAATCACGGGAGTAGCTGTCGTCATATACACAGAACAATTGCAAAACATTGGAGTAGCTGTCGTCATATACACTCAACAATGGCAAATCATTGGAATGGCTGTCGTCATATACAGAGAACAATGGCAAATCATTGGAGTATCTGTCGTCATATACAGAGAACAATGGCAACTCACGGGAATAGCTGTCGTCATATACACAGAACAATGACAAATCATTGGAGTAGCTGTCGTCATATACACAGAACAATGACAAATCATTGAAGTAGCTGTCGTCATATACACAGAACAATGGGAAACGATTCGTTTAGCTGTCGTCATATACACAGAATAATGACAAATCATGGGAGTAGCTGTCGTCATGTACAGAGAACAATGGCAAATCACGGGAGTAGCTGTCGTCATATACACAGAACAATTGCAAAACACTGGAGTACCTGCCGTCATATACACTCAACAATGGCAAATCACGGGAGTAGCTGTCGTCATATACACAGAACAATTGCAAAACATTGGAGTAGCTGTCGTCATATACACTCAACAATGGCAAATCATTGGAATGGCTGTCGTCATATACACAGAACAATGGCAAATCATTGGAGTATCTGTCGTCATATACAGAGAACAATGGCAACTCACGGGAATAGCTGTCGTCATATACACAGAACAATGACAAATCATGGGAGTAGCTGTCGTCATATGCAGAGAACAATGGCAAATCACTGGAGTAGCTGTCGTCATATACACTCAACAATGGCAAAACACTGGAGTAGCTGTCGTCATATACACAGAACAATGACAAATCATGGGAGTAGCTGTCGTCATATACAGAAAACAATGGCAAATCATTGGAGTAGCTGTCGTCATATACACAGAACAAAGACAAAATACTGTAGTAGCTGTCGTCATATACACTCAACAATGGCAAAACACTGGAGTAGCTGTCGTCATATACACAGTACAATGGCAAATCATTGGAGTAGCTGTCGTCATGTACAGAAAACAATGGCAAATCATTGGAGTAGCTGTCGTCATATACAGAGAACAATGGCAAATCATTCGTTTAGCAGTCGTCATATACACAAAACAATGACAAATCATTGGATTAGCTGTCGTCATGCACAGAACAATGACAAATCATGGGAGTAGCTGTCGTCATATGCAGAGAACAATGGCAAATCACTAGAGCAGCTGTCGTCATATACACTCAACAATGGCAAAACACTGGAGTAGCTGTCGTCATATACACAGAACAATGACAAATCATGGGAGTAGATGTCGTCATATACAGAAAACAATGGCAAATCATTGGAGTAGCTGTCGTCATATACACAGAACAAAGACAAAATACTGTAGTAGCTGTCGTCATATACACTCAACAATGGCAAAACACTGGAGTAGCTGTCGTCATATACACAGTACAATGGCAAATCATTGGAGTAGCTGTCGTCATATACACAGAACAATGGCAAATCATTCGTTTAACAGTCGTCATATACACAGAATAATGACAAATCATTGGAGTAGCTGTCGTCATATGCACAGAACAATGGCAAATCATTCGTTTAGCTGTCGTCTTATACACAGAAAAATGAAAAATCGTTGGAGTAGCTGCCGTCATATGCACAGAACAATGACAAATCATGGGAGTAGCTAACGTCATATACAGAGAACAATGGCAAATAATTCGTTTAGCTGTCGTCTTATACACAGAACAATGACAAATCATTGGAGTAGCTGTCGTCATATACAGAGAACAATGGCAAGACATTGGAGTAGATGCCATCATATACACAGAACAATGGCAAAACATTGGAGTAGTTGTCGTCATATACACAAAACAATGGCAAACCTTTAGAGTAACTGTTGTCATATACAGAGATCAATGGCAAGACATTGGAGTAGATGCCATCATATACACAGAACAATGGCAAAACATTGGAGTAGTTGTCGTCATATACACAGAACAATGGCAAACCATTGGAGTAGCTGTCGCCATATACACAGAACACTGGCAAATCCAAGAGTAGCTGTCGTCATATACACAGCACATTGGCAAATC